CCCCAAAACCCCAAAACCCCAAAACCCCAAAACCCCGAGAGGTTATAATTTCTGGAATATAATTTGAAAATAATAAACAAAGTTTGAATTATTTAGAAATGGCAAATTCAGGGGCAACACTTCAGAACTACAACACCGAGCTTATCAAGATGCTTGAGACCATTAAGGAGAACAGAGACGAGGTCTAGGTTGAGATTGATGCCGAAGAGTCCGAAAAGAGACAAATTGAAGAGAATATGAAGATGCTTAGCCTGAGACTCTAGGAATTGAACGAGTCACTCTCTAAGAAATACAACACTCGCAATGAATTCGATAAGACTATTAGCGAGACTGAGAATGCCTTTATGAAGATTTTAGAATCCTCCCAGACCCTGCTCCATGTCCTTAAAAAGGAAGGCGCCAGTCTGAATAAAAAGAAAGCACAGACATTAACAGGAGTAAAGAAGGGTGACTTTGAAACTCCTCAGAGAGATCATTGAAAAGAGAGCGTACTTAAAGAACTTATACAATAATGCATGATGAATGATATTGAAGATTTCTAACTTGCTTAATTGCTTGTTTAATTTTTAAACAAATATTTAATCACTTAAATTTTATCAAATTAAACTAACTGATGATGGAAGCTGATTAAAATAGCTAAGCCTAAACTAAATAGGAGGATTTCCAGCCAGAACCCTCTCCTAGATTCGGAGAGGATAACTTCAGTCCAAAGACAATACGTATCTACAATGATAATTAAGTTAGTCCTAGCGACATTAATGAAAGCAAGATAGCTCCCTATAAGCAATCAGAAAATGATTTTAGCTTCAGTTAAAATCTGGATGAGTCTAATGACTGTTGCGATGAGTAGTAATTCCCCAACCAGAATGATCAATCTTTTTCAAGAAACACTCACTAGGATTTCTTAGAGTGCTCTATTATATCTCAGAGTCAAATATTCTAGAACTAATATAAGTATGAAACCTAGGAGTAGCTATAAGAGGCATTCAAGAATTCCATCAATCTAGTCGGTAAGTCTTTAGCATCAAAATCTTATATCAATTTTTATATGGCTTGCTAATTCAATTACAGAACAAAAGTGGATGGATATCAAGAACTGGCCTGAAAGCAGTCCATTGCGCATTGAATTATTTTCACTCGAGATGCAGGCTGTTCATGGAAGTTACTATCGTAATAAGATAAAAGTATAAGAATACGTAAATGGAATGGGACTTTAGGAAAGCAACAAACTCGCTTATATAGAATCTTGGAAACACAAATTTCGTAAAACACAAAAAGAATCTATGTAAAGTTATGTGTAAATAGTAGAAAAGAACTAAGAAATGCTCTAAAGGTTAGAAACATATGTGAGAAAGGGTAACTAAGCTTAATAGAATTAATAGCAATCATAATAGTCCACAGTTGCTAATACTACTACTAGGGGAGGTAATACCTAAAACACTTAATAATAAAATTCAATTGAGGATAGTTCACCCCTTTTGCCCCCGTAGATGACTATAAAATAATCTGGGGCTTTATAGGCGTAGGGTATGATGATACCATAGATCATTAAAATAGAAAATTAGAAGACAAAGAGTAATAGAAGTAGAAGCAGAACACCACCGACTGCTAACTCTAATCCAGTCAACAATACCTAAAAAACTAACTCAAAAAGCACATTCAGTAATAAAAGAGATAGTAAAAGTAGTCTGAGGAAAAAAGTTCCATAAATCTAGTTATCATTAGTCTTTGGATCTTCAGATGGTCCTACTAATATAAATTTACATAGAAAAATTCAATCAGAACAAGAAGTCAGATTAAAACCATAGGAATCTCCTTAAAATTCCCCACCGAAGCCAATTGAATATATAATTAAAAGATAAACCTATCAAACTAAATCACCCCCTTCATAGTTCAGTCCTAACAAAGATATTGAAGCAGTTTATTCTGCAACTGATAATAACTATAGTAAAATAGATAACAATAGCCTTATATAGAGTACTGGTTCACCAGATTCTCCAAAGAAGCTTGACACTCGCAAACTTTCAATTTACTCCTAGTAGCACATTACAGATCAGAAACCAATTACTAAATAAGTCCAAATTGAGCAGAATCAAAAGCTAGAAGAGTACTTGTGCTTAAAGGAAATTTAAAACAATGATAACTTACGAATTTCGAATTAATCATAACTTGAAACGGGGACAGATTAGCTAGATAGTACTGAATAAAAAGAAGTTTCGATTGATAATTAACCAATGAAAATAGAAGAACTGTAAGTAGTAAAAAAGTAAAATAAGCAAAAACCAGTTTCAAGAGAGTTGCAAGAGAAACCAAGGAAGGTCATTGAGATATCATTAGCAGAGGATATTCCTTTAACCTAAAGATTAAGTCCTTCCAAATCTAGTATTTTGACTTAAAAAGAAGAATAATTATTCCAACCAATAGATGATTCAGATTATAATTCTTCCTCTGCTATTGACTTTGCAGCCAATTCAATGCATACACCATAGAACAACAAGCATGAATTTTCTAGATTTTCAATGTTTGAGAGTGCAACACCTGTCACTAATCAGAAGTTTTAAACTCCAGGTCATTCTAGAAGCCTTTTAGGTTGTACTACTTCTCCAAGTACCTCCAGAATCTCCCGTAAATCTTAGAAGTTGGATTTCAGCTTTAAGCATTACGTCACTTTACAAAGTAATAAGGAAAATGATGATATAAGAAGTAATAGTAGATAATATAAACTCAGATAAATAGATGAGAAGTCTTAAACATAGGAACTCGAATAAGAAGAAGAGTTTGAGGTGATTGATGTCAATGGCAAACTACCTAAGAGTATTGGAAGAATAGTAAATGAATATAACTAAGGGAATATGCAACTGAGTAAAATACTTTTTGGCTAGGATTCTTAGGGATTAAATTTACTGGAAGGAAGTAAAGATGAAATGCCTATATATAAAGTTAGATTAGATTTACAGGAGCAGCAGTATTTGAGCAAAATACTAGGAATAAATATGAAAGAGCTCTAAAAATTTTCCATTTTAAAGTCATTTGGTACCTTCAAATGCAAAGATGCTTAAAACTTGATGATAAAACTTCAAGATCCATTAAACTTATTAAATGCAGCTAGTGGTGACATCACCCATCTGAATTAATTGCCCAGTATTTCTACTAACTGTTAATTTTTACATAAAACTTACAACAGGCTAAGTGGGCTTTTACGCAGTAGATTTTCATAGCAACTCTGCTTTCACCATAGACTTTTAGAAGAGGATGGCTTGATTCTCATAAGTAGATCCATATCTGATGAATAGGCTTTGAGGCTTAAATAGTAACCAGTTAGAGGAGGATATTTTTCCAAATCAATGAATCTTGGCTTGCAAAGTAAGATTTTCATTATCTTTTGATGTATTTTAGTGTTGCATTTATAAGTATAAAGCTAACTAAGTAATTTTGACATAAACAAAAAAGATAGAGTCAAGTCTGAAGATGATGAAACAATTGTGAGCTATAGATATTTCTATTGCGTTGATTATTAGTTGCTTTATGATAACCAACTGAAGTAGAACAACCTTAAAGTAGCTTAGTAAGATGTCTAGACAGTTATTGAAGCTTTGACTAAAGTAATGTGAATGATGTAAGATTGACTTGTACATAAGATGACAATATTTTAACTCTTCGATTAAACTTTAATAGTCTGGCTAACTTTGAAGATAAATTATTTGTAAATGTTATTTAAATTTTAATACAATCAAATTAAATATATAACCGTAGCCATTAATAAACTCAATTTTATGTACACGTTAGTATTTATTCTTTGTTAATAATTTTCTCTTTTATATTTGTATTTAGCACCAACCATATTTCAACACGGCTTATCATTCACTGACGCCCACTATAAAATGAGGAGGCTCTTGATCTAGAAGCCTCAGTTATACGATAACTATTGCTTTGAAGCATTCCATTGCCGATGCCAGCACCTACTTAGTTTCCATTACTTCACAGGTCAATCTCACTTTGATTTACGATTCCCTTTACCTTCAGCTTTATACTAGCCTCCTTGAGAAACTGTATTATATTTCTTATTCGACTGTACTCCTCTGTAGCTAGTTAGAAGACCAGCATAACTATAAAAGCATTATAGAGACCTTTGAGCATCCAGAGTGCTTTCATTTACTTGACAAGGTTGTAGTATACTCTGATTAAGGAGAATAGTCTATTTTTCAGTAGCCACAGGTAAATTATGTATATCAACAGTCTGAACAGCCGGCTCTTATCCTCCTTAAAATGCTTCAATGTCCTGTTGATAATTTCCATAATAGAGGATCTGCCCTTGTAAATATAAAAGGGTGTCCCACAGAGTTCACATTTCTTTCTGTGAGATGCTTGTAGCCAATGAATTAAACATTCCTCGTGTACAAACTTTAAACTACCCTTGCAGAGACAGGGCGATATCAAGCTGAGATCCTTGAGGAAGCATATCCTGCACTGAATGGCTGAGGAATCATCCTAGGTAGAATTCCTTCGAGTTTGAGGGACTTCTACTTTTCTAGGACTGATGTCATTTGTCTCTAGTTTTGATACATTACATGGGAAGGATGAGCATATGGGTAATCTGTGCATTCTCGTTGCACTCAAGTTTGAAGTTTAGGTGTTTAACTTATGAACATTAGAAGCAGGAGCATTATTAGAGATGTTACTGCGCGTGTTTGAAGAGTGATTAGAAACTGAGAGTAGATTCTAATTTAGATTGCTAAAGATTGCAGGCTTCTTCTCGTTTGAGTTTTGAATATTATTCGGATTGCCTTTCATTATATCAAATTATTATTTTCCAGCTTAAATTTAATATAATTCTATTTAAAATAGCTAATCAAACCAATAATATCTACATCACGGGGTTTTGGGGTTTTGGGGGATCGG